GATGCATTTCAAGCCATGAAAAAAAGTAACTTCCAATCAACTGTATTCAGCAAAGATCTATTTCAAATTGAAGGAGAAATAAAAACTTATCATGATAAACAAAACATAAAGGAATTCCTGACAAGTAAGCCAAGACTCTAGAAGATATTTAAAGGGACTCTACACAAAGAAGAGTTAGATAAATGCAACCATAAAAATATTGCAAGAAATAAGTATCTCTAGATGAATAGATGAGCAAATATGGATAAAAATCAAACATTACACAAACATCAAAATGACAAGAATTGCTACAAACTTTTCAATATAATTCTGAATGTATAGGGTCTCAATTTTCTAATTCAAAGAGGTACACTGGCAGTTTGGAATAGAAAACAAGACACAAAACTATTTTTTTTCTTTGCCTACAAGAAACACAACTCACTGGCAAAGACTAAAACAGGATTGAAATAAAAGGATGGAAAAAAAGTATTCCATGCACACAGAACCTCAAAGTTATCTGGAATAACCACAGATATATCAGACAAAGCAGATTCAAAGAAAAGTTAGTCAAAATAGTCAAAGAAAGTCACTTCCTATTGATAAAGGAAACAAATGATCAAGAGAATATTACAAGTGTAACCATATATGCACCAAATATCTATGCCCCCAATTTCATGAAACAAACACTACTAGACATAAAGCACAAAAGACCCCAACATAATAATAAATGACTTACTCAACCTAGTGTCACCAATAGATAGGTCAAACAAGATCAACAAAGAAGTTTCAAAATTAAACAACACTATAGATCAAATAGACAACAAATATTTAAGAATATTGCACCAAATAGTCACAGTTTTATACTCTTCTCAGCATTCCACAGAACTTTCTCTGAAATATATTGTATTTTAGGACATAAAACAATGCAAAAAATTTAAATAAATTCTGGAATTTTATCAAAGCAACAATGGAATAAAACTAGAAATAATAGCAAAGGAGGTTTCACAAATTATTCAAACAAATGGAGACCAAACAATACATTTTTGACTGATCAATGCATCATTGAAGAAATAAGAGAGGAAATTAAAAACCTCATAGCGTTAAATGAAAATAGAAATACAACTTACCAGGACATTTTGGATACAGCAAACTTAGTACTAAGAGGAAAGTTTGTAGCTATGAGCTATGAGACTAAAGGAACAGTACAAAGAATCAATGAAACAAACAGCTGGCTCTTTTAAAATACAAACAAGGTTGACAAAACCTTAGCTAAACTAACCAAAACAAATTAAATAAGACCAAAATTCATAAAATTGATGATGAAAAGGGGCTATCATAATGAATACCCATGCAATTTAGAGGCTTATTAGGGAATACTTCAAAAATTTATATTCTAAATAACTTAGAAACCTAGAAGGGATGAGTAAATTCCAGACATGTATGACTTAGTTGAAACAAGAAGATATGAGCAACTTAAACAAATCTATAACAAGCAATGACATTGAAGCATTAAGAAGGGATCCTCCAACAAAGAAAAGCCCAGGGCAAAAAGGAGTCACTGCTGAATGTTACCTGACTTTTAAACAAGTGATATCAAGACTCCTCAAGCTATTCCATAAAATAGAAAGAGAAGGGACACTAACAAATTCATTCCATGAGACATGTATTATCTTGATACCAAAGCAGAATAAGGACACACAAAGAAAAGAATTAATAGACATAAACACAAAAATTCTCATTAAAAAATGTACTAAGAAAATTAAACAACACATTAAAAAGATCATAAGTATTTTCAAGCTATCAAGGATGGCTAATCATATGCAAATCAGTAAATGTAATACAACACAGAAACCAAATAAAGAGCATGGTACTAGCCCCAAAACAGACACGTAGAACAGTGGGATAGAATAGAAAAGCAGAGAAAATTCCACACACCACAGCTCTCTGATTTTCCACAAAGTTACAAATATTTAATTTGGAAAAATACAGCCTCTTCCACAAGTGGTGTTTGGAAGCTAGATATCCATGTGTTTAAAACTGAAACAGATCCCACCATGCAAAAAGATAAATTCAAAAGGAATCAAGATCTTAATGGAAGATCTGAAATTTTTAAACTTCTAGAAGAAATCATAGGAAAAATTGTTGAAGACACAGCATAGTCAAAGAATTTCTAAATTCAACTCCAGTTGCTCAAGAAATAAGAACAAGAATTGACCAACAGAGTTGCATCAAATTAAGAAAGTTTCTGTACCTGAAAGGAAACAATGTTAGCTTACATTATGGAAAAAAAAACTTTCTAGCTATCCTTCAGATGAAGAATTAATATTCAGAAAACATATAGTGTTCAAAAAATTAAACACCAAAGAGCAAAACTTCCAAGTAATAAATGGACAAGTCCATTAAACAGGCAGTTTTCAAAAGAAGTACAAATATGTATACATACATGAAGACATGTTCAATATCCTTAGCCATGAAGAAAATGCTAATTAAATGACATTAAGATTCCATCTCATCCCAGTCAAAATGATTATCATCATAAAATCAAAAAAATAAATGCTGACAAGGATGTAGGGAAAAAAAGAAATGCTTATATACTTTTGGTGGCAAAGTAAATTATTATAGCCACTATGGAAACCAGTTTTCTCTCACATGTGGAATAGAGACCTAAAAAGAAAATAATAATGCTATGAGATGAATGTAAAAGTGGGACTGTGCAGGGAGAACTGTAGAAGAAAAGGAGAAGGTGTTAGTGGGGTGAATATGATTGAAATATGTTTAATGCATGTATGAAATAGCATCATGAAACCCACTAAAAAGGTAAAAAGGCAAGAAGTAGGTAGTGTTATAAGGAGAGTAATAGAAGGGGGTGAACCTGAACAAAATACATTATGTGCACATATAGAAATACCACAATAAAAATCCTTTGTACAACTAATATAACTAATTAAAATAAGGTATATAGGCAATAAATTTAATATAACCAATTTTTTAATTTGAGGTATTTTGCAATCATGATCTTTTTTCATATATATACATAAACATATATCTATGTATGTATATATATAAACTAATAGAATTTTTTGAGTGGTACTAGAGTTTGAACTCAGGGCCTTGCACTTGCTAGACAGGTGCTCTACAGCTTGAGCTACACTCCAAGCCCCAGAAGTTTTTAATTAAAAAAAATTCAGGAAATTATTAGAAGATCTTCTTTTTGTTAAAGTCAATCTTAACTACCATGTTTAGCTAAAAATATTCACGTATACACTTCTCAAAATTAGAATTTCAAGTATATATGCACATATATTAAGGAGATAAGTCTTAAGGTGTTTACTTAAGATGATGGAAAATTAATATTTGAAGTACTTAAAGAATCTTCCAAGGTAATAGTGATAAAATATTATTGAAAGTATACAAATATATTTAACTAAATTTAATACAAGTAAAAGACTTTGAATAAAATCTCATTTGAAATTCACACTTCAGAAAGGAAATGAAGAAAAACTTAAAGTTTTCCTATTTTCAGGTAGAATTTAGTTTTTCATTCATCATGATTTTAATCAATTTTTCCATAGTAGAAAAATATTACCTTGCAAAACTCATCCAATAAGAGAAAAATCACAAGATGCTGATAATAGCAGTGACTACTGAGACCATGGAACATGTGTTCATCTTGAACTAGTCATACCACGTTTCTATTTCCAGCTTTGCCAATGAGCTAGCAGAATGACTCTGACATATTCATTTAGCAGTGACAATCTCTATAAGTTCCCATAGAAGTCTAAAATTCAGTGGATGAGAATTTATTTAATATCAGAAACTCATTAAAATTATTATTTTTCTAGTTAGAAATTTCAGTGCACCATTTAAATTCATGTGAAGCCTCTTGTGTAGCTCAATGGCAGAGTATACAACACACACAGGTATGAGACCCTGGCTTAGGTATCTAGCACTGCAAAAAGAAACAAACAAAAAGAAATTTAGATGTGCTAAGTTACACTTTTACAATAAGTGCACTTTGTATTCTTAAATGACACATGTAGAAATGTTTACTGAAGAATAATCTGTTTCAAATTGAAAACACTCTTCAGCAACCTAACAGGTTAGATTAACATTAAAGTATAAGAGTAAGCATTAAAACCTTAAACCACTGGTTTTTAAATGTTTCCCTTTCAGACTTACAACCTGCATTTTTTCATAATAAAATTTTATGTTAAGCCTCAATCATTTCTTGACAAATAGCTACTTTCCTCAGTGTGCCCCAGTATGTTGTACAGCTTTTTTTATATCAGTGAGTAAGCCATAGGATTTGCTATTTCTAGTGTTTCCCAACAGAAAAATGTTACAATCAAAAAATTATGTGTTAACTCCAATGTAGCAAAAGCAGTTATTTTGGGTGTAGTGGGGAGAGTTGGAGAGGTGAGATTTTGCATGAATATTACAGAATTTAAATGTGAAGATATGAAATATATACACACACACATACATTCATTGACCTTTTATTCTCATAGTTTCATGAATTAAAAAGGGAAAGTCGATATAAGGGCACATGAATCCAGTCAGCTACCCTTAATTTTCTCCATTGTGCTTCTTCACTCCTAACTGCCAAATAATAAAAAATATTTTTAAGTGAGTGTTATTTTATTTTTGTCAAATTCTTCTTAATACCATCATTACAAACACTATAAAAGAACATAAGTATTCTCAATCAAATATCTTATGTTATCAAAGGTTATATTTTCTCTAAGAAGGAGATATAAGAAATTAGAATTTATTAAGGTTTATTATATTAAAATATCTTATTAAACATGAAAGAATACTAAACATTAATTTGAAATAGCAGAGATACAGAAAAACACATTTAGTAATATCAGTTATTTTTAGGTTATTTATCATCTGTTTATATGGAGGTACCATAAATTTATGCCTAGATTTTAATAATGTGAAATTACAAAATACTGAGCAGTTATCTTAGGGTAATAACATGTATGCTCATTAAGATAGTAAGAATTTGTTTTGCAGACCTGTGTTGGAAATTGTTCTGGAATGCAGTTTATTCTCTCATTGGTGGCATCATTTATCTCACTGGGACATTTTCCTAAACCAGCTGGAGTTGAAGTAGGAGTTATTTCTGAGGAAGGAAAATAAAGCATGACATTAAATCATTTCTATGGATTTTTCAAGAAATGAAAAATTCCAAGCAAAGAAAGAATTTATAAATATGCATATAATTAAAAATTTTAAATCAAATTTGCATTTAAAAACATCCAAAACTTCAATACTTTGTCATAAAAAAAAAGATCCTAATAACATTTTAAAATACCATAGTCTGATTTCTAGAAGCTAGGAACTACCTTAAAAATATAAAAGTTTCAGTTGGGTTTTTCTTTTCAAAACTGTTTCTTTCATTATTGTAAATATTGTTTCAATGCTTCTTTTGTCTCATTCGTGAAATTTAAACTTTCACTGAAAAGTAAAAACACTTAAAAGATAGAATTAATTCTACCCTACCTAAACACTTCTTCCTTTACCTGTTTTCTCTTTCTCAGGTAACAGAAATAAGAAAATCCATTAGTGTCAAAACACAGGAGTTCCTTAATTTAGTGCATTTTCATTGAAATAATGAACAGAAAAAGTTGGGGGTAATTGTATAACTTAACCCCAGATTGTTTTACATATTTCATTTCTCACAAATTATGTTTAAAATCCAAAACTATGCAATAGCATTTTCATAACTTCACCATAATGTCTAAGAATGTGTAATACTACTTACCATCAACAGCAGGTGTATTAGTTGCTAAAACAATGACTAGGGCAATAGCTATTATAGTAACAATGGCAAAGAGGACAATCAGAGAGATTTCTAATGCGCTAAACTTCTTCCTTGCCATCTAAAGAAAGAAAGAAAATTGTGTTTAAAATGTAAAATAGATAATTACAATAAAACACAATCAATTATGAAGTTTCATATATATAATTTACTAAGCACAATGCAAACTGTTGCAGATAGCTTTATCACTTTTTAATCTAAAGTAATCTACATTGATTACTTGACAAAAATGAAAGCAACACACACAGCATTAAGTAAAAGCAGTGCAGATCACATAGCAACTAAGATGAAAAAAGAGAAGATAAAGAATCTCCAAGCTCATGTACTCATGTGTTTTGTCCTCTCCTTTTAAAGTATCTCTCTCTGTCTCTCCTTCAACATACATTAATTGTACAAAGGGGCTTCATTGTAATATTTCCATGTATTATTCATATAATGCACTTTGACCAAATTCACACCCTAAAACATTTTTCAAGACAAAGAAAACTTCTTTATTTTTTAACTTTCACTATTCTGACTTCTGTAATTTAGAATTCTAAAATGAGAGAGAATAAATTATACCTCAAATTAAAATAATTCAGTTCTTCATAGTCTAACTCATGAATGCTCCAATTTCAACACTTCTTTAATATAACAATATTGTGGAAAATGATGTAAATATATATATTTGGAAATATAGTATTTATTTGACAGATTTTGCTATATCTTAAAACATTTCAAAATATATGACACTAAGTTCTTCCATGAAATAACAGGTGTAACATGTACAGTAAATTCTCACGTTAGAGAGTTAACTTCTTGCATTTGAGATACAACACAGACAATACCAAATTAAATTATCAAAGAACTCTTCCACAATAATTGTCTGAAATCATATTTAATTTAATTTTACTGCATATCTCTCACTTTTTCCAGGTCTTGACGTTTCCATGGACTTTCTGTATTCTGGCATATATCCAGGTAGAATTTAGACTTTTCATGGTAAATGATTTATAAATTGCTCGTTTTAATTTTTTCTCCTTCACCATGATCCCTGTCCCTGAAACCATATGTTATTTATTGTACCCAGTTTTCCCAACCTAAAACCTTTTTCCCTCTCCCGTATTTTTCTACCACATTCAGTTATCAAGTAAGCGCTACTGATTTTGTATCCAAACTATTTCAGAATTAAACCTTCATCCTCTCCCTTAACACTGCAGCATATTTTGATACCCTTCCTCCATTTTACCTACTGCTAAAGCTTCTTTAACTCCTGCCCATCTACTATAGGAATCAACTGGCATGGTTTAGAGTGAGCCTATTCCTACAGTTGGGGTCATAATTAATCTATTTTCCATCCATTTTACCATAGCACAAGCATGTCTATGCCTATGTGAATTTCTTCAATGACATTTTTTACATTCTTCATATTATGAATCATGAAAGTCATTCAGAGACTGATATGAGTAAGCACAAGATTATTTTAATAGTATTTATTAATTAATATTTAAAGATTAGCATTCAATTTCAGCATAGTTTCCTATTGTGAATATATAAGCTAAGCTGTTTATTACATCAGTAATATTCAAAGAAACTAAACTCACTATAAGTTAAGGTTAGTCTTCATGATACAAAGCATTCTCTGACATATGAAGCTTTTTAAAAACAAAACCTAGATGCTCAATTTTATGTGAAAAGTAACATGGTCATTTTTAACATTTAGCTAATTTAAATATTTAACTTGAAACTTAAAGCAATATCCTAGTTATGCTTCATTTAGCCGGAAAGAAGGAATATGTTTTTCATTTTATAAATGAAAGTAAAAAATAAAATACACACAAGCTATAATGACAAAACCTTCCTTTATCTAAAAAAATTAGAACAAAATTCCTGTCCCCAAATTAAATTAGACATATGAGTGCTCACAAGCAATAAGTACTAAACTTACCCTTTTTCTGCACTTGGTAATTACAGTGATCATATGTTTTAGAAGCACAATAATTTCAAGTAAAACTTTTTTGGGAAATCACATATGAATGTCCTCTTAAAATGAGTGGTAGCTTGATGACAGATCTTAAATCTTAAATAGGTTATAAATCTAGCATTCTACTCTGCCTCTATCAAAGAAAATGTATGTTGTCATAATTTAGACTAACCCTGCATTTTTCAAAAATATTTTTCAATCTTCTTTTCTTCTATAGAAAATATTTAAACAGAAATTGCTATGAATTCCACCTAATTCTGATAAATTTATAATGGTGGACAGGACAAAGAAAATATTCTCAATCTTAAAAATTAGAATGTTTTTCTCAGGGTTTGGTGCAAGGGACTCTATATTTAAAATGGCATCTTAGATCTTTATTATTTCACTATTTTAAACAAGTGAAGATAAGAGCATTGCTAACATGAATCAAGGAAAAGTTCATTTGCTTAGAAAAATGAAAGTAGCTGTGTAGTAGGATCTAAGCACTTACCTTATTTCATAGCCGTCCTATTTGCTACGTTGTGTTGGAGTTGGTAAGGTTGTTAAAGTGAGGATCAGGGGAAATTACTCAGGTATATATTGACCCACTCATAAAGTTTTATTGCACCCCCACTAGCCTATCAATTTTTAATATGCCTCTGTTCAACATGCAATTGCTAAAAGCCTTAACCCTGGAAGTAGTTTGTATAAATATTTCTCTGAGAATCAAAGTTAATTAATAACCATGCTCCTAGATAATCTTTGATTTCTAGAAGCTAGGAACTATCTTAAGAACATAAAAATAGTTATTTTAATTATTTTTCTCTTTTCAAAACTGTATTTACTTCATTACTTGAGTACTCTTTAATAATTGTTTTGTCTCTGCATGAATTTAAGTTCTCACCGAACAAAGAAGCATATTTGAAAAATACAAGTTGTAAAACATTGGGAACTGGCAATTAAAAGATAATGTGACACTTAATATGATAAAGCCAATCACAGAGCAAGTTTCTTGAATCACAAGGCTTGAGATGACACAACAGGATTTATAGCTATTTATACAAATAATTTCTGTACTTTCTGCCACCCTATGCTTTGAAGATGTAAGTCTCTTTCCTGGCCATTTGAGTATGTTCTTTTTTTATGCCTGCTTTTATTTAGGTACAGAAAGTTTTTAAATCAAATGCATGCAGGTAAAAAAAATGATAGTGTTTCACAAGAAGTAATAATTAAATAAAAGCCAATCCATATCTTGTTATTAATCCTAAGGTTGACAACCAACCAAATTTATAACAAGAAAACATAACAGTGAGATATGTGGGCAGGTAAATTCAGAAATAAGTCAACATTTTATTTATCTATTTATTTATGTATAGCACTAATTTAATTATCAGAAATCATATTGTAAACACTTGTCAGTCATTACAGTAAAATTTTTAGAATCTGTTTCACCACTAGTTTAAGCAAGTATGGTGTTTTGAGTACAAAGAATTTAATATGAAAAATATGGGTAAAAATGGAGGCTGTACTATTGATAACTGACAAACCATGGGTAAGTGTATTTACTTATTTAAACACACACCTTTTTATGTACAAAGTGCTAAGAAAAATGTTTATCCATGGGGTGACTGAGAATGGAATGAGTTATTATAGACTATTACCATTTTTGCAGCTTTACTCTCCCAGAGTCAGACTGACTGAAAAAATATTTGAGTTCTGTGCATAGTCTGTCACTACCTTTTCAAAAGAATGTACATTAAAACGTAGTCACACAGAGGTGAGCAGCTCACTTTTGGGTCAATCTGAATATGTGTATTAACAGAAACAATAAAATTCAGCAAAGCTGGATTAGTACAAGACTCTAGAGTGATCAGAAAACTCCTAGTTACTGGAAACAAGATGAGAATCACCACAGAATGGCCCCACTGGGCAGAAAGCTAAGTTCAATGTCATAGAAAGATGTACTCTCTACTTATAGACCAAATAATTACTTATGTGGAGAAATCCATTAATGTCAAAATCCTTTATGAGCATCATGTACTGGTGGCAAGGCCACAGAATATAAGGCCAATATGCAGTCAGTTGAGCTCCAGCATAACAGCAACGACCAACTGAAAGCAAAGCTAAGATATAAACATAGAAGCAAACAGAAAATCGCTTATAGCCGTACCAAAGTGAGAAGTTGGGTATAAATATTACTAAATATATATAGATAATCTCTTCTGAAAACTTCATAACTGTGATGAAAGAAGTCAATGAAGATCAAAATAAGTGAAGAGGTATTATTTGCATGGGCTGGAAAATTTGATATGGTTAAACTGCCAATTCTCCATAATTTGCTATATTTTCAAATAATCAAAATCCAAATCCTAGTGAGTGATAGAGATTAGATGATTGTAAATTTTGTATGACAATTTCCATAATATCTTTATTCATAATTTCCTCAAACTGGAAATAATTAAAGTGACCATCACTACCAGTATACAATGGAAACCTACTTAGGAATGAAAAGTTCTAAATGTTGATTCAGATAGCAACATGGATAAAACTTAAATTTCAGGTTATTTTCTGCACAATTATAGTTCTCTGTTGATATAAAGGACAATAGTTTATTAACAGTTTGTCCAACTTTTTTTCTTCTTTCAAGAGTAAGAGTAGAAATGACCCAAAAAATGTACGCACATGTGAATAAATGAATAATAATGATAAAAAAAAAAACAGTAAGAGTAGAGCCAGACCTGGTGAATGCCTGTCATCCCAGCTACTCAAGAGGCAGAGATCAGGAGAATCATGGCTTAAGGCTAGCTAGCCTGAACAAAAAGTTACTGAGACCTCCATCTCAACAAATAAGGCAGCTGTGGTGGAACACAACTATAATCTCACCTAGGTGGGAGGTGTAGGTATGAAGATAAGGGTAGAGGCCAGCACTGAAGAAAACAGGGGATCCTTTCCAAAATATAACTAAAGCAAAAATGGTGTGGGGGTGTGGTTCAAGTGGTAGAACAACAGCTTACCCCTGAGCTGAAACCACAGTACCATCGTAAGAAAGAAAAAAAGAGTAACAGCAAACTTCTTTCTAGCTTTGTACATCTTTAAATTATAACTGAATCCATAAAGTT